GAAAAAAACTGTTGGGATTTAAAAAAAAAAAAAAAGCCAAGGATAAAGCAGGAAAAAACCTCCAAGAAAAATTTAGGAAAAAAATCCCAGGAGGAATCAGCAGGGGGGAATAAATGGGGAAAAATAGAGGAAAGAAAAGATGTGGGAAAAAAACTGTTGGGATTAAAAAAAAAAAAAAAAAAGCCAAGGATAAAGCAGGGAAAAAACATTCAAACAAACAGGGAAAAGCACCGGGAAAAATAAAAATAAGGGGAAGAAAACAGAAAACAGAAAAAAAAAAAAAAAAAAAGGAAAAAGACCCAGAAAAAATTTAGGAAAAAAATCCCAGGAGGAATCAGCAGGGGGGAATAAACAGGAAAAAATAGAGGAAAGATGTGAAGAAAAAAACTGTTGGGATTTAAAAAAAAAAAAAAGCCAAGGATAAAGCAGGGAAAAAACATTCAAATAAATAGGGAAAAGCACTGGGAAAAATAAGGGGAAGAAAACAGAAAAAAAAAAAAAAAAAGGAAAAAGACCCAGAAAAATTTAGGAAAAAAATCCCAGGAGGAATCAGCAGCGGGGAATAAACGGGAAAAAGTAGAGGAAAGAAAAGATGTGGGGAAAAAAACTGTTGGGATTTAAAAAAAAAAAAAGCCAAGGATAAAGCAGGGAAAAAACCTCCAAACAAACCGGGAAAAGCACCGGGAAAAATAAGGGGAAGAAAACAGAAAAAAAAAAAAAAAAAAAAAAAAGGAAAAAGACGCAGAAAAATTTAGGAAAAAAATCCCAGGCGGAATCAGCAGGGGGGAATAAACGGGAAAAAATAGAGGAAAGAAAAGATGTGGGGAAAAAACTGTTGGGATTTAAAAAAAAAAAAAAAAAGCCAGGGATAAAGCAGGGAAAAAACCTCAAATAAACAGGGAAAAGCACCGGGAAAATAAGAGGAAGAAAACAGAAAAAAAAAAAAAAAAAAAAAGGAAAAAGACCCAGAAAAATGTAGGAAAAAAATCCCAGGAGGAATCAGCAGGGGGGAATAAATGGGAAAAAATAGAGGAAAGAAAAGATGTGGGGAAAAAAAATGTTGGGATTTAAAAAAAAAAAAAGCCAAGGATAAAGCAGGAAAAAAACCTCCAAATAAACCAGAAAAAGCACCGGGAAAAATAAAAATAAGGGGAGGAAAACAGAAAAAAAAAAAAAAAAAAAAGGAAAAAGACGCAGAAAAATTTAGGAAAAAAAACGTAGGAGGAATAAGCAGAGGAAAAAAAAAAGAATAAAAAGGGGGAAAATGAAAAAAAAAAGAGGGAAAAAATACTGAGGGAAAATAAAATGGGAGGGGGGAAACCTGAGGGAAGAACAGGGGGAAAGTAGAACAATTAAAAAAAAAAAAGGAAAAAGATCCAGAAAAATGTAGGAAAAAAATCCCAGGAGGGGATAAACAGGAAAAAATAGAGGAAAGATGTGAAGAAAAAAACTGTTGGGATTTAAAAAAAAAAACCCAAGGATAAAGCAGGGAAAAAACATTCAAACAAACAGGGAAAAGCACCGGGAAAAATAAGGGGAAGAAAACAGAAAAAAAAAAAAATTCAAAAAAAATTAAAAAAAAAGGAAAAATGGAGGGGAAAAGGAATAAGAGAAAAAAAGAAACAAAGAAATAAATTCTGAAGCAGTGAGTTTTGGTGGATTTTGGTGGATTTTGGCAGCACTCGGCAGGTGCTGGGAAGAAGGGAGGAAGGAGGATGAGGATGAGGATGGAGCCATCCCAAAAGTTCTGTAGCAGCTTCCCGATCTCATCCCGATCCCCGTCCCCTTCCCGATCCCCACCCGTCCCTTTCCCAAGCTGGGCGAGCCCTGCCCAACCCCAAACACCTCCCCCTTCCCATCCCGGCTTCTACCTTCACCCTTCCCTGCAGGAGAAGGTTCTGGAAGAGCCTCTATGGTGGGACATCCATCCCAGTGCCGGAGGGGACGGAGCAGGGATGGGGGATCCCTCCAAGTCTCCTCCGGGGTTTTTGTGGGATCTTCTCGATGCTCCCGCCACGCTCCCGACGGTGCCGGTGGGACGTCGGGGCTGGCGGAGAGCTGACACCGTCTCCACATGAATATTCCATGAGGATCCGCGCGCCTGAGGAACCTGAGATGCCACCACGGTGCTGAGAGCCCTCCTGGGCCATCACCCGCCCTCCTGGGCCATCACCCGACCTTCTCCCACTTTCCTGAAGAAAAACGGCACCGGAGATGCCGCTGCTGCTCCATCACATCCCACCTGGGTTCCAACAAGATTGGGGTGGGGGATGGAACATCCCGATGTTGATCTCAGGTTGGGAAGATCTTCCAGCAGAGTTTAAATCCGTGTTAGACACCGGAGAATCCACTCAGCCTCTGGAAGTTCTCTTCCCATGGATTTTTTTGGGTTAATATGGGATTGAGCATGGATCATCTCCAGTTCCACAAACCCTCCTGCTGCTCCTCTTGGCTTTGTCCTTTAGGATTTCACCCGTGGGGATCTCCAGAATCCCTGCGGATCCCTGGAGCTGGGAGCAGCCTCCCTCCTGGCCAGCTTCCAGCTGAAGATCCCGTTACTGGTGAATTATCCATGGAAAAAAGGACATTTTAATCACTGCCCTTTACTGGGAGTTGGGAGCAGGGAACAGCATTCCCACGGCTCATTTCCTTGCAGGAATTCCACCCGTCAGGAATTCTTCCAGGGGACAGATCCCACCGCCGGGTCCATCCTACACCCTTGGACTTCACCTCCAAGATGAACCTCACCACCAGTCTGGACCTCACTTCCAAACTGGGACCTCACCTCGAAACTGGACCTCACTTCCAACTGGGATCTTCCATTGGAAGGTCCCAACCCTCGGTCCCTTTGTTCCTCCTCCCAGAGGAAGAAGCAGAGCTGGGAGATTTGTCCCCATTTTTCCTGAATCCACCCTCTCCTCGTGAACATTTTCCTCCTGCTCCACCTCATCTCCACCTCCTGCTTCATCCCGTTATTTGGGAGGATCCGTCCATGGGATGTGCCGTGAATTGATCCCTAAACCACAAAATAAGGAATAGGAACCAGGAGAACCTCCTGGATGGGGAAGTCCCCAGGGCTGATTCCAGGATCATTCCCTGGAGCTGAGTTTAAATTTGAGCCCAGCTGGTTTTTGGGGGAACAGCCTGATCCATGAAAATTACTGGGAATAAAAGGAAGGTGGGATCTGAAGAAACCTGTCAGCTGAATGTGGGCACAGGAGCTGTCGGATCATGGAATTCCCGAGTGGGAAGGGACCCACTGGGATCATGGATCCAATTCCTGCCCAGGACACACCAGGAATCCCACCCTGTCCCTGTCCCAGCGCTCCTGGATCTCCGGCAGCCTTGGGAATGTCATCATTCCCTGAGGAGATGTTCCAGTGCCCAGCCAGCTCTGGGGGAAGAACCTTTTCCTGATATCCAAAGAAAAGTGGGATCAAAGTCCTGTCTGCACCCAGACTTCTCCTGCCCTGTCCATGTCCAGCCTGGGAAAGTTCCTCCATCCGATCCCGATGGATCCCTGAAGACCTCTCAGTTCCCTTCAGGCTCCAAAGGTTCTGCCTGATAAATATTCCTTGGTTTTTTTGTGAAAATATTCCCTGCAGGCACCAAAATCTGAGGACACACATCCAAGAGATCCAAGTTTTCCCAGAGTGGACAGGCCTGGCTTTAGAGGAAGGGAGAGTGCAGATACCGGATCAGCTGGAAAAGTGGGAATGAGGATGAGGAGGATGGAGAGAAAACCAGCTGGATCAGGTGGAAAAGTGGGAATGAAGAGGAAGAGGAGGAGGAGGATGGAAAGAAAACCAACTGGATCAGGTGGAAAAATGGGAATGAAGAGGAAGATGGAGAACAAACCGACTGGATCAGCTGGGAAAGTGGGAATGAGGAAGAAGAGGATGGAGAGCAAACCGACTGGATCCGCTGGGAAAAGTGGGAATGAAGAGGAGAAGGAGGAGGAGGGAGAGCAAAGCAACTGGATCAGGTGGAAAAGTGGGAATGAAGAGGAAGATGGAGAACAAACCGACTGGATCAGGTGGAAAAGTGGGAATGAAGAGGAGGATGGAGAACAAACCAACTGGATCAGGTGGAAAAGTGGGAATGAAGAGGAAGAGGAGGAGCAGGGAGAGCAAAGCAACTGGATCAGGTGGAAAAGTGGGAATGAAAAGGAGGATGGAGAACAAACCGATGGATCGGCTGGGAAAAGTAGGAATTAAGAGGAGGAGAAGGAAGATGGAGAACAAACTGACTGGATCAGGTGGAAAAGTGGGAATGAAGAGGAAGATGGAGAACAAACCAACCAGATCAGCTGGGAAAAGCGGGAATGAGGAGGAGGAAGAGGATGGAGAACAAACTGACTGGATCAGCTGGGTAAAGTGGGAATGAGGAGGAAGAGGATGGAGAGAAAACCAACTGGATCAGGTGGGAAAAGTGGGAATGAAGAGGAGGAAGAGAATGGAGAGCAAACTGACTGGATCAGCTGGGAAAAGCGGGAATGAGGATGAGAAGGATGGAGAGCAAACCAACTGGATCAGCTGGGAAAGTGGGAATGAAGAGGAGGAGGAGGAGGAGGAGGAGGAGGAGGATGGAGAACAAACCGACTGGATCAGCTGGGAAAAGTGGGAATGAGGAGGAGGAGGAGGATGGAGAACAAACCAACTGGATCAGCTGGGAAAGTGGGAATGAAGAGGAGGAGGAGGAGGATGGAAAACAAACCAACCGGATCAGGTGGAAAAGTGGGAATGAGGAGGAGGATGGGGAACAAACCAAATGGATCAGCTGGAAAAGTGGGAATGAAGAGGAGGAGGAGCAGGGAGAGCAAAGCAACTGGATCAGGTGGAAAAGTGGGAATGAAGAGGAAGAGGGAGAACAAACTGACTGGATCAGCTGGGAAAGTGGGAATGAAGAGGAGGAGAAGGAAGATGGAGAACAAACCGATTGGATCAGCTGGGAAAAGTGGGAATGAAGAGGAGGAGGAGGAGGAGGGAGATCAAACCTACTTGTGCTCCTTGGTCTTCTCCTTGCCTTTGCTGGAGCCGGTGGTGGAATATTGAGGGAATAAAAGGCAAACAAATTCAGTGCACTGGGGAATCAGGGAATCATGGAATGCTTTGGGTGGGAAGGGAGCTTTAAGATCCCTAATCCCACCTCAGCCACGGGCAGGGACACCTTCCACTATCCCAAGATGCTCCAAACCTCAATGTCCAACCAGACCTTGGACATTCCCAGTGGTCCAGGGGCAGCCACAGCTGCTCTGGGAATTCCATCCCAACCCCTCCCTGCCCTCACGGGGAAAAATTCCTTCCCAATATTCCATCCAAACTTCCTCTCTCTCAGCTTGAAATGTAGGTGGGACACATCTCTCTGCAGCTCCTGCTTCCCTGTTTTCCTCCCCAGGTCCTTCTTCCCAGTTTTCCTCCCTGGTCTTCTTCCCTGTTATCCTCTCAGATCCTGTTTCTCTATGTTTTCATCCCTATTTTCCTCCCTATTTTCCTCTCTGTTTTCCACCCCGGTCCTGCTTCTCTCTTTTCCTCCCGGTTTTCCTCCTGAGTCCTTCTTCCTTGTTTTTCTCCCTATTTTCCTCCCTAGTCCTTATTTCCTATTTATTTTCCTCCCTGATTTCCTCCCCAGTCCTTCTTCCCTATTTTTCTCTCAGTTTTCCTCCCTGTTTTCCTCTCTGTTTTCCACCCCGGCCCTGCTTCGCTCTTTTCCTCCCTGTTTTCCTTTCTGTTTTCCTCCCAGGTCCTGCTTCCTTGTTTTCTTCCCAATTTTTCTCCCTGTTTTCCTCCCTGGTCCTTCTTCTCTGTTTTCCTCCCTATTTTTCTCCCCATTCCTTCTTCCCTATTTATTTTCCTCCCTGATTTCCTCCCCAGTCGTTCTTCCCTATTTTTCTCCCCGTTTTCCTCCCTGTTTTCCTTCCCGACCACCCCTTTCCTGTTTAATTCCCTATTTTTCTCCCCGCTCCTTCTTCCCTATTTATTTTCCTCCCTGATTTCCTCCACACTCCTTCTTCCCTATTTTTCTCCCCGTTTTCCTCCCTGTTTTCCTTCCTGACCCCCTTTCCCTGTTCTCCTTCCTATTTTTCTCCCCATTCCTTCTTCCCTATTTGTTTCCCCCCCTGATTTCCTCCCCGCTCCTTCTTCCCTATTTGTTTTCCTCCCTACTTTTCTCCCTGGTTCTGTTCTCTGATTTCCTCTCGGCTCCTGCTTCTCTCAGTTTTCCTCCCTATTTTCCTCTCCGTTTTCCACCCCGGCCCTGCTTCGCTCTTTTCCTCCCTGTTTTCCTTTCTGTTTTCCTCCCAGGTCCTGCTTCCTTGTTTTCTTCCCTATTTTTCTCCTTGTTTTCCTCCCTGGTCCTTTGTTTTCCTCCCTATTTTTCTCCCCATTCCTTCTTCCCTATTTATTTTCTTCCCTGTTTTCCTCCCCAGTCCTTCTTCCCTATTTTTCTCTCCGTTTTCCTCCCTATTTTCCTCTCCGTTTTCCACCCCGGTCCTGCTTCTCTCTTTTCCTCCCAGTTTTCCTCCTGAGTCCTTCTTCCTTGTTTTTCTCCCTATTTTCCTCCCTAGATCCTTATTTCCTATTTATTTTCCTCCCTGATTTCCTCCCCAGTCGTTCTTCCCTATTTTTCTCTCCGTTTTCCTCCCCATTTTCCTTCCTGACCCCCTTTCCCTGTTCTCCTCCCTATTTTCTTCCCGCTCCTTCTTCCCTATTTGTTTTCCTCCCTGGTTCTGTTCTCTGATTTCCTCTCGGCTCCTGCTTCTCTCAGTTTTCGTCCCTATTTTCCTCTCTGTTTTCCACCCCGGTCCTGCTTTGCTCTTTTTCTCCCTGTTTTCCTTTCTGTTTTCCTCCCAGGTCCTGCTTCCTTGTTTTCTTCCCTATTTTTCTCCCTGTTTTCCTCCCTGGTCCTTCTTCTCTGTTTTCCTCCCTATTTTTCTCCCCATTCCTTCTTCCTTGTTTTTCTCCCTATTTTCCTCCCTAGATCCTTATTTCCTATTTATTTCCCCCCCTGATTTCCTCCCCAGTCCTTCTTCCCTATTTTTCTCTCCATTTTCCTCCCTGTTTTCCTTCCTGACCCCCTTTCCCTGTTCTCCTCCCTATTTTTCTCCCCGCTCCTTCTTCCCTATTTGTTTTCCTCCCTATTTTTCTCCGTGGTTCTGTTCTCTGATTTCCTCTCGGATCCTGTTTATCTCATTGTTCCTCCCTATTTTCCTCTCCATTTTCCACCCCGGTCCTGCTTCTCTCTTTTCCTCCCTGTTTTCCTCCTGAGTCCTTCTTCCTTGTTTTTCTCCCTATTTTCCTCCCTAGATCCTTATTTCCTATTTATTTTCCTCCCTGATTTCCTCCCCAGTCCTTCTTCCCTATTTTTCTCTCAGTTTTCCTCCCTATTTTCCTCTCTGTTTTCCACCCCGGCCCTGCTTCGCTCTTTTCCTCCCTGTTTTCCTTTCTGTTTTCCTCCCAGGTCCTGCTTCCCTGTTTTATTCCCTATTTTTCTCCCTGTTTTCCTCCCTGGTCCTTCTTTGTTTTCCTCCCTATTTTTCTCCCCACTCCTTCTTCCCTATTTATTTTCCTCCCTGATTTCCTCCCCAGTCCTTCTTCCCTATTTTTCTCTCACTTTTCCTCCCTGTTTTCCTTCCTGACCCCCTTTCCTGTTTAATTCCCTATTTTTCTCCCCATTCCTTCTTCCCTATTTGTTTTCCTCCCTGATTTCCTCCCCAGTCCTTCTTCCCTATTTTTCTCTCTGTTTTCCTCCCTGTTTTCCTTCCTGACCCCCTTTCCCTGTTCTCCTCCCTATTTTTCTCCCCGCTCCTTCGTCCCTATTTATTTTCCTCCCTGATTTCCTCCCCGCTCCTTCTTCCCTATTTTTCTCCCCGTTTTCCTCCCTGTTTTCCTTCCCGACCCCCCCCTTTCCTGTTTAATTCCCTATTTTTCTCCCCATTCCTTCTTCCCTATTTATTTTCCTCCCTGATTTCCTCCCCAGTCCTTCTTCCCTATTTTTCTCTCAGTTTTCCTCCCTGTTTTCCTTCCCGACCCCCCTTTGCTGTTTAATTCCCTATTTTTCTCCCCGGTCGTTCTTCCTTATTTATTTTCCTCCCTGTTTTCCTTCCCGCTCCTTCTTCCCTATTTTTCTCCCCGTTTTCCTCCCCTCCCTCTCTCTCCCCCGTGAATCGCCCTCATTGTCCTGCAGCAATTAGGGAGGAAAAAGCAATTAAGCAGCTCGGGAAGTAATTAAGGAGGCTGGAGTTAATTACATCGGCTCCTCCGCTGGGCTGGGGACAAGGGACAGATTCCAGAGCCTGAAATTCCAGCTCCTTGCGCCCGAGCTGCTGGAAAACCATCCAGGAAAAAAAATAAAATAGTGAAGTGTTGCTGGATTTTGGGTTTTGGGAGAATTCCAGAGTATCTCCAGGATAAAATGGGACACGGGAGGGAAACTGGGAAGAGCAGAATGGGCAGGGATCAGCCTGATTTGATCCATGAATTCCTGGTTATTTCCCTGTCCCGACTCCTGCTGTGGGAGCAGAGTGGGAAAAAGAATTCCCGTGCCAGCTGAGCTCCTCCTGGGAGCATCAAACCCCAGCTCGGCGTTGGAAAAGCTGCCAGGAGAGGAATGAAACAATTCCAGGCCTCCTCCTGGAGCTCAGGGATCTGCTCCAGGTCCTGCTGGACACACTGGAGATGGGCAGGATCCCTGTGGGATCGCATCCCGCTGATCTCACCTGGTGGGATCCTTCCCTCCTTCCCTTCCCCATCCAAACTGCCCTGGGTGGGCAGAGGGTGGGAATGTTCCCTGGAGTCAGGGCGGGATCCATCCCTGGGATGGGGAATATCCCGTCCCTGGGATCCATCCCTGGGTGGGCAGAGGGTGGGAATGTTCCCTGGAGTCAGGATGGGATCCATCCTGGGGTGGGCAGAGGGGTTGGGAATGTTCTCTGGAGTCAGGATGAGATCCATCCTTGGGGTGGGCAGAGTGTTGGGAATATCCCATCCCTGAGTGGGGAGAGGTTCTGGGATATCCCATCCCTGAGGGTCCATTCCTGGGTGGGCAGAGGGGCTGGAATATTCCCTGGAGTCAGGGTGGGATCCATCCTGGGGTGGGCAGAGTGTTGGGAATGTTCCCTGGAGTCAGGATGGGATCCATCCTGGGGTGGGCAGAGTGTTGGGAATGTTCCCTGGAGTCAGGATGGGATCCATCCCTGGGGTGGGGAGTATCCCATCCCTGGGATCCATCCCTGAGTGGGCACAGATTCTGGGATATCCCATCCCTGGGATCCATCCTGGAGTGGGGAGTGTTGGGAATGTTCCCTGGAGTCAGGATGGGATCCATCCCTGGGGTGGGGAATATCCCATCCCTGGGATCCATTCCTGGCTGGGCAGAGGGTGGGAATGTTCCCTGGAGTCAGGATAGGATCCATCCTGGGGTGGGCAGAGTGTTGGGAATGTCCCATCCCTGGAATCCATCCCTGGGTGGGCACAGATTCCGGGATATCCCCTCCCTGGGATCCATTCCTGGGTGGGCAGAGGGTTGGGAATGTTCCCTGGAGTCGGGGTGGGATCCATCCTGGGTGGGGAATATCCCATCCCTGGGATCCATCCCTGGGTGGGCAGAGGGGCTGGAATGTTCCCTGGAGTCAGGATGGGATCCACCCTGGGGTGGGCAGAGTGTTGGGAATGTCCCATCCCTGGAATCGATCTCTGGGTGGGCAGAGGGGCTGGAATGTTCCCTGGAGTCAGGGTGGGATCCATCCTGGGGTGGGCAGAGTGTTGGGAATGCCACATCCCTGGGTGGGCAGAGGGTCTGGAATGTTCCCTGGAGTCAGGGTGGGATCCATCCCTGGGGTGGGGAATATCCCATCCCTGGGATCCATCCCTGGGTGGGCACAGATTCTGGGATATCCCATCCCTGGGATCCATCCCTGGGTGGGCAGAGGGTTGGGAATGTTCCCTGGAGTCAGGATGGGATCCATCCCTGGGGTGGGGAATATCTCATCCCTGGGATCCATCCTGTGGTGGGCAGTGTTGGGAATGTTCCCTGGAGTCAGGATGGGATCCATCCTGGGGTGGGCAGATGATCTGGAATATTCCATCCCTGAGGGTCCATCCCTGGGTGGGCAGAGTGTTGGGAATGTCCTATCCCTGGAATCCATCCCTGGCTGGGCAGAGGGTCTGGAATGTTCCCTGGAGTCAGGGTGGGATCCATCCTGGGGTGGGCAGAGTGTTGGGAATGTCCCATCCCTGGGATCCATCCCTGGGCGGGCAGAGGGTTGGGAATGTTCCCTGGAGTCAGGATGGGATCCATCCTGGGGTGGGGAATATCCCATCCCTGGGATCCATCCCTGGGTGGGCAGAGGGTCTGGAATGTTCCCTGGAGTCAGGGTGGGATCCATCCTGGGGTGGGCAGAGGTTCTGGGATATCCCATTCCTGGGATCCATTTCTGGGTGGGCAGAGGGTTGGGAATGTTCCCTGGGGTCAGGATGGGATCCATCCTGTGGTGGGGAGTGTTGGGAATGTTCCCTGGAGTCAGGATGGGATCCATCCCTGGGGTGTGGAATATCCCATCCCTGGGATCCATCTCTGGGTGGGCAGAGTGTTGGGAATGTCCCATCCCTGGGAGGAGAGAGGGTCGGGAATATCCCATCCCTGAGGGTCCATCCATGGGTGGGCAGAGGGGCCGGAATGTTCCTTGGAGTCAGAATGGGATCCATCCCTGGGGTAGGGAATATCCCATCCCTGGGATCCATCCTGGGGTGGGCAGAGGTTCTGGGATATCCCATCCCTGGGATCCATCCCTGGGTGGACAGAGGGTCTGGAATGTTCCCTGGAGTCAGGATGGGATCCATCCTGGGGTGGGGAATATCCCATCCCTGGGATCCATCCCTGGGTGGGCAGAGTGTTGGGAATGTCCCATCCCTGAGTGGGGAGAGAGAGTTGGGAATATCCCATCCCTGAGGGTCCATCCCTGGGTGGGCAGATGGTCTGGAATATTCCATCCCTGAGGATCTATCCCTGGGTGGGCAGAGGGGCTGGAATTTCCCCTGGAGTTAGGGTGGGATCCATCCCTGGGTGGAAAGATGTTCTGGAATATTCCATCCCTGAGGATCCATCCCTGGGTGGGCAGAGGGGCTGGAATGTTCCCTGGAGTCAGGATGGGATCCATCCTGGGGTGGGGAATATCCCATCCCTGGGATCCATCCTGGGGTGGGCAGAGTGTTGGGAATGTCCCATCCCTGAGGATCCATCCCTGGGTGGGCAGAGGGTCTGGAATGTTCCCTGGAGTCAGGGTGGGATCCATCTCTGGGTGCGCAGAGTGTTGGTCCCATCCCTGAGTGGAGAGAGGGTCAGGAATATTCCATCCCTGGGATCCATCCTTGGGTGGGCAGATGATCTGGAATATTCCATCCCTGAGGATCTATCCCTGGGTGCGCAGAGTGTTGGGAACGTCCCATCCCTGGGATCCATCCTTGGGAGAGGGGTCAGGGAAGTGCAAATCCTGTGTCCCTTCCTCTTCCTGGCGGGAAAACATGCCCTGGGTGAGGGATGCAGGAACGCGGCACATTCCAAGCGTGTCCCTCTTTTTCCTCTCTTTCCCTCCTCCTTCTCCAGGTGTTTCCTGCATCTCTTTCCCTCCTCCTTCTCCAGATGTTTCCTGCATCTCTTTCCCCTCCTGATTCCTGCCCCCACTGCATTCCTGGCGCTCGGATCAGGAGGGTGACAGCGCTTCCTGAGGGATCCAGGATCCTTTTCCAAGAGCCTGGTGGAGCAGCCAATCCCAAATTCCTTCTCCCTTCCTTTCCTTTTTCCCCAGTCCAAGTCTCCCGCCAAAGGTGACCACGGACTGGTGGGCACAGATGGAGAATTCCCATTTTTATCCCTCAAAAACGTCAGTTTAGAGCGTTTTCCCTGGGAAAATGGACTCACGGTCCTGCCCTGCTGTTGTTCCCAAGAGCCGGAGGTGCCCCGGGAATGAGGGATCAGGGAATTCGGATACCTGAACGGCAACACCAGGTGTTTTTTCTCCTTCCCTTTGGCCTTGGATCTGCAATCCGAAGGAGCGATTCCATGAGTTGGGATCCAGGGATGGACTCTGATCCACCTTCTCTCCCCCAAACTCATCCACATGCACGGAGCAATCCAACAAAGCCGATCCAGAGGGTTCCAGAGGGAGAGATCCCCGTGCCCGGGATTCCCAAGGATCCTCGGGAATGGGGACAGAGGATTGATGGATGGATCCATGGATGGATGGATGGATGGATGATGGATGGATGGATGGATGATGGATGGATGGATGGATGGATGGATGATGGATGGATGGATGATGGATGGATGATGGATGGATGGATGATGGATGGATGGATGATGGATGGATGATGGATGATAGATGGATGATGGATGGATGGATGGATGGATGGATGGATGGATGGATGGATGGATGGATGATGGGTGATGGATGGATGGATGGATGATGGATGGATCCATGGATGGATGGATGATGGATGATGGATGATGGATGGATGATGGATGGATGATGGATGATGGATGGGTGGATGGATGATGGATGGATGGATGGATGGATGGATGGATGGATGGATGGATGGATGGATAATAGATGGATGGATGGATGGATGGATGGATGGATGGATAATAGATGGATGATGGATGGATGGATGGACGATGGATGGATGATGGATGGATGATGGATGGATCCATAGAAGGAAGGAAGGATCCATGGATTGCTTGGAATAGAGAAAAACATGTTCCAGGAGCTCCTGCAGGAGTCCCTGACTGGAAAGGGATTTGTCCCTGCTGGGATTAGGAAGGACAGAAGGAATCCCAGGGGTGGGTGATCCCAGAAAAGGCCTTTTTTCCTGGATCCAAACCCCAGGGGTGGGTGATCCCAGAAAAGGCCCTTTCCATGGATCCAAACCCCCTGCAGGACCTGCTCCCATCCATGCACACACCATTCCCGAAGGGAAGCAGGGACACCACGTCCCATACCTGGGATCTTCCGGGTCTTCGCTGTCGGGAGGAGACGGAGCCGGGAGGAGGAAGATGAGGAATTAAAAAACGTTCCCAACCGGACACGGCCCATGGGATCCTCAAATCCCAGGAATGGTTTGGGTGGGAGGGGACCTTGAGGATCATCCCATTCCAATCCTAACACCTTCCACTATCCCAAGGACACTCCCAGGGATCCAAGGGTAGCCACAACTTCTCTGGGAATTCCAGCCCAGCCCCTCCCCACCCTCCCAGCCAGGAATTCCTTACCAATATTCCCAAGTTTCCATTTCCCAGTGGGAAGCCATTCCCTGTGTCCCGGCCCTATAATTCCTGGTGTCACAGGATGAGGCTGACCTGTATCCCAAATTCTGGGATTATGCTGTAGGATGTGGGTGCCTGGGATGGGCTGGAATGGAAGAAATCCCCCAAAATCCCAGATCCCACCCCAAAATTTGGGATCCCTCCCACCAGGACATTTTTGGTACCTTGCCACTGCCTTGTATCCATCGTTAAACTTAATCCTGAGTGAGGCACCGGAGAAAAAGAGAAGGAAAAAAATCCAATTAAATCCCAGTGCCAGAATTCCTGAGGGAGCAGGGAGGGAATTCCAGCTGTGCCTCCAGCCCAGGGTGTTCCATTCCCGCTATTCCCGGGAAAAACACGGCTGGAGGCCGGATCTGCGCTTCCAGCAGGAGAAACAGGAGCTGTGTCCAGCACTTCCAGCATTATCCATGGTTCCTGCTCCGTCTGGGAATCTCCTCCACCAGGATAGGCTGGGGGTGGTTTACATTCCCAAAATTCAGGAAAAATCTCCAGGTTCTGAAAGCTCTGCCCTGGGACTTGCAGCAGAAGCTGCTCCGTTGGTTTGAACCTTTTCCTGGTTTTCAGCATCCTCAGGATGCAACATTTTCCCAAGGAATTTAATGGTGCATGAAATGATTAATGTAATTTAATTAAGTTTAATGGAGGGGTTGGAAAAAAAGATGGAAAACCTTAATTTGGACTTTTTTTTTCCCCAGGATGGAAAAGATCCCAAACTTCCTGTTCATCCTGGTGGTGGCACTGTGACATCCCAAAGATCCGTGCCCAAATGCCACATGGATTTGGGAATTTTGGACCCTTCTTACTTATATGGACATGGATTAATTCCCCACTATCCCAAATTCCGGCCATTCCCAGCGCTGATCCGTGTCCCCAAGAGCCACATCCACGGGGGTGGGGGTGGGAATGGGGGTGGGAGTGGGAATGGGAGTGGGAATGGGGAATGGGAGTGGGAATGGGAAATGGGGAATGGGGGTGGGAATTGGAATGGGAATGGGGATGGGAGTGGGAATGGGAATGGGAATGGAAGTGGGAATGGGGATGGGTATGGGAAAGGGGATGGGGAATGGGAGTGGGAATGGGAGTGGGAATGGGAGTGGGAATGGGAGTGGGGATAGGAGTGGGGGTGGGAATGGCTGTGGGAATGGGGGTGGGAGTGGGGGTGGGAATGGGGGTGGGAATGGGGGTGGGAATGGGGTTGGAATGGGGATGGGAATGGGGGTGGGAGTGGTGGTGGGAGTGGGGAATGGGAAAGGGGATGGGAAAGGGGATAGGGATGGGGATGGGGAATGGGGATGGGAAATGGGGAATGGGAATGGGGAAAGGGGAATGGGGATGGGGAATGGGGAATGGGGAATGGGGAATGGGAATTGGGAAATGAGGATGGGAGTGGGAGTGGGGATGGGGGTGGGGAGTGGGAATGGGGGTGGGAATGGGGGAATGGGAGTGGGGGTGGGAATGGGGTTGGAATGGGGATGGGAAAGGGGATAGGGATGGGGAATGGGGAATGGGAATGGGAATGGGAATGGGGATGGGGATGGGGATGGGGATGGGGAATGGGGATGGGGAATGGGAAATGGGGATGGGAGTGGGAGTGGGGACGGGAGTGGGGATGGGAGTGGGAATGGGAGTGGGAATGGGAGTGGGAATGGGAGTGGGAATGGGAGTGGGAATGGGGATGGGGAGTGGGAATGGGGGTGGGAATGGGGAATGGAATGGGAATGGGGAATGGGAAAGGGGATGGGGAATGGGGAATGGGGAATGGGGAATGGGGAATGGGGAATGGGGAATGGGGAATGAGGAATGGGGAATTGGAATGGGGATGGGGATGGGAGTGGGAGTGGGGATGGGGATGGGAAAGGGGATGAAAAAGGGGATGGGAATGGGGGTGGGAATGGGGGTGGAATGGGGATGGGGAATGGGGAATGGGAATGGGAAAGGGGATGGGGATGGGAAAGGGGATGGGGATGGGGATGGGGAATGGGGAATGGGGAATGGGGAATGGGAATGGGGATGGGAGTGGGAATGGGGATGGGAAAGGGGATGGGAATGGGGGTGGGAATGGGGGTTGGAATGGGGAATGGGGAATGGGGGTGGGAGTGGGGGTGGGAGTGGGGAATGGGGAATGGGGGTGGGAATGGGGATGGGAATGGGGATGGGAATGGGGATTGGAATGGCAATGGGGATGGGAGTGGGAGTGGGGAATGGGAAAGGGGATGGGGTTGGGGGTGGGAATGGGGATGGGGATGGGAGTGGGAATGGGGGTGGGAATGGGGTTGGAATGGGAATTGGGAAATGGGGATGGGAATGGGAGTGGGGATGGGAGTGGGGATGGGAGTGGGAATGGGGGTGGGAATGGGGGTGGGAATGGGAATAGCAGTGAGAATGGGGATGGGAGTGGGAATGGGAACAGGGATGGGAACGGGGATGGGAACAGGAATGGGAATGCCGTGGGCAGCCTGTGGGTATTTTCATCCCGAGTTCTCCCATGCCTGGCACAGATCCCAGCTTTGGAGCAGGTGCCAGAGGGATAATTAGCGACAGGCAGTCGGACAAGGCTCGGATCCGCCGGGACACGGAAGAAAAGCTCCCATCAATAATTCACCGGGAGCAGATTCCTTTCGACTCCGAGCTCTGTCCTGGCCATGAATATTTCAAGGACAGCCCCTATCGGATGGTGCTTCCTGGGATCTCACTTTCCAGAGGGTTGGGAGCTGGGCTCAGACAGGTTTTGGCAATTCCTGAGCTGCCTCTGGAAGTGCTCATCCCTCTTGACTTTTCCTGGGAATTTAAAGGGCGAGTCTATGTTGGCGCATAAATCATGGAATTGTAGAATCCAGGAATGGTTTGGGTAGGAAAGGGCTTTAAAGCTCATCCCATTCCATGGGCAGGGACACCTCACACTGTCCCAGGTTCTCCAGCCTGGCCTTGGACACTCCCAGGGATCCAGGAGCAGCCACAGCTTCTCTGGGAATTCCATCCCAGCCGCTCTCCACCCTCACAGGGAAGAGTTCCTTCCCAATATCAAATTTTTCCTGTTTTTCTTTTCTGTTTTCCTCACTGGAACACAAGTCCAGCTTTTTAAAGGATCCTGTCCTAATTCCAACATCCTCCCGTCTCCTGGAATTTTTTTTTAAATCCAGGTTGTATTTTTTTTTTTTTAGCTCTTTATTTCCCCATTCTGGACCCTTCCCTGTGAATTTGCTTTTCATGGATGTGTTTGGTTTAAGTTCCCAAGGGACCAAGGAGCCAAAGCCATTCCAGGGACGTGGCACATGGGGAGGCTCCACCTCCCATTCCTGGCTCCTTCATCCCTGGATTCTGTGTGGGATGAGCAGATTCCCAGGGATCCCCAGGGAAACACAAAAATTAAATTTAACAGATGCAAATCTTGATGTCTGGATTTAAGGAATTTTCTTTGGAAAGCGGAACTCTGTGGGTGGATCAGCCCTGGAAGAGGCAGGGGATATTCTGTGGGAATTTACCTGGAATGCTGATCTTCTTCTGCTTCTTCTCCAAGGCTTGGGAATTTACAGGGAGAGAGGAAAAATTCCGGCTGTGATGTGAGGATAAAGGGCTCTTCCATTGTTTTATAAACCAGGAAAAACTTGGGAACACTCCGGCACAGCAAAGCACTCCATGCACGGCTGGAATCCCAGGATCTCCCCATGCCACTTCCCGTTGTGTCCGCAGCATCCAGGATTGTCCCAGACCGGATTTTGGGGGATATTTGGCCAATATTCCACCTTTTCCAAGTGGTTCCCTCCTGCTTGACCTCCTTTTCCCGCTCCCTCCTTTTCTTTGGGATGGATTTGCTCAAATCCCAAAGGAAAAGTGGGAATGGGCGGGTGCTGTACCCTGTGCCAGGATTCCTGGAAGGAGGAAAAGGGAATTCCCAGATCTTGGAAACCCTTAGGAAGCCCTGCCGTCATCCCAGTGATGGAAAACCCTTCCCACCTTTTGGAAATCTGCAGGATTGCTTCATGGGGGGCGGTCTTGTTTGCACGGAAATTCCCCAATTTTGGGAAATTCCCAAACGCAGAGGTGTCCAGTGAAGGTAGAGAATTCCCTGTTTTCCCAAAGAACCAGCCTGGATCCAGCAGCGGCCAAGGAGAAGCCGGATCTGCTTTCCCTGGGATCGGCAGCTCCGCAGGAGAATTCCCAAAATCCTTGATGTGGATGCTCTGCTCCATGGGAATGGGACAAGACTGTCCTGGATCTTCCTCTGCTTCCAGAACTGCCAAAATCCAGGATCTCCAGGCTCAACCCTCTCCAGGATGTCCGTGCCCAAATCCCAGGGGATTCTCCAGGTGGAAAAGGGGCTCCAAGGTGGGAGCGGGGTGGGAGGAAGGCAGAACAGGGGAGGGAATTCCTGGAATCGTGGGATTAATCACGGGAAAAGATGGAAGTGGAACCAGGTCCCCCTGCCCAGGAACAGATTTTGGATAAGGGATGGAATGCCAGGAAAAAAGGGGGAAAGGCTTTAAGCTGCCGAGGGATGGATTCAGATGAAATTTTGGGAAGGAATTCTTCCCTGGGAGGGTGGGGAGGGGGTGGGATGGAATTCCCAGAAAATCTGTGGCTGCTCCTGGATCCCTGGGAGTGTCCAAGGCCAGGCTGGACATTGGGTTTGGAGCAGTGTGGATAGAGGGAAGTGTCGGGATTGGAAAGGGATGAGCTTTAAGGTTCCTTCCCATCCAGAATATTCCATGGTTCCACAATTCCCTGTCTCCATGGCTGTGGACTGGGCTGGCCCATGGATCCTGAGGCTGCTGCTGGAACATTCCAGGGACAGGGAATTCCATGCTTTGTTCATCCCACTTTTCCTTGTGTATCCTTTTCCGCCCCCATCTCTGCACACAAACCTTCTGTTCATATGGAAAACAGGGAATCCAAAGGGATCCCTGGGCTGGAGGAAGGACAATGGGAATGGGATTGGGAATGAGGATGAGGAAGGCCCAGACAGGGCCCAGCAGGAGCCCTTCCCATCCCACTGAAATTCCTGTCGGAAATGCAGGTCTGGAAACACCAAAATTCCTATTTTTACTCTTCTGATCCAAATTTTTCCCAGATCTGGGATCTGTAAGTGATGGAGAAGGAAAAACCTTCCAAAGGAACCGGGACATTTTTGTTCCCAAATGAATTTTAACCAAAACCCTTCCTTGAATTCCAAAGGATGGTTCATATCCAAGCGCCTTTGGATTCTTCCCAAAAGCTGGAATACGGAACCTCTTACCTTTATTTTCTTTTATTCCCCCTTTTTTTTTTTGGTTTTTTTGGGGTTTTTTTTGGTTTTTTGGGTTTTTTTTTTTTGATTCCTGGTAAATCCCAGCACATGTTTGCTACAGCCCAAGCCAGGCATTCCTTGGAGCAAAATGCTCCAGGAATTCTTATTGAAAACAGGGATAAAACCCCATGGACGCCCCCCTGAGACCTGGGAATTTTTTGGGATGAGGGATAAACCTTTCCCATCCCAGGGAATTCCCTGTATTTCCGGTATTCCCTGCTGCTTGTATGGATACCTCTATTCCTAAAATATGGGATTTATCCCTAAAAACCTCGTTTAAATGGCTCGGCTTTGGGAATCTCCCTCTCCCAACTTCATCCTGGCTCATTCCTGGATTCCATGAGGAAAGGCTGAGGGGAATTCCTGCCCCTCCCAGCCAGGATTGATCCAGCCTGACTGGGAATGATGGGATGGATGATCCGGGATGATCCCGGACTCTGCCCTGATAGCCAACAGAATCCATGGCCCAGCCAGGGAAAAGGCGGGATGGGATGATGGGATAATGGGATCCATGGGATTGGATGGGATCCATGGGATAGGATGGGATAATGGGATGGGGATGGGATGGGATCCATGGGATTGGGTGGGATGGGGATGGGTTGGGATCCATGGGATGGGGGCCATGGGATGGGATAACGGGATGGGATAGGATGGGATAATGGGATGAGGATTAGATGGGATGGGAAGGGTTGGGATCCATGGGATGGGATGGGGTCCGTGGATGGGAAAATGGGATAATGGGATAGTGGGATGGGATAGGATGGGATAATGGGATGGGAATGGGATGGGGATGGGATGGGATCCATGGGATTGGATGGGGTCCACGGGATGGAATAATGGGATGGGGATGAGATGAGATGAGGTCCATGGGATGGGATCCATGGGATGCAATAATGGGATAATGGGATGGGAAATTGGGATGGGATCCATGGGATGGGGTCCATGGATGGGAAAATGGGAAAATGGGATGGGATAGGATGGGATAATGGGATGGGAATGGGATGGGGATGGGATGGAATCCATGGGATTGGATGGGGTCCATGGATGGGAAAATGGGATAATGGGATAATGGGATGGGATAGGATGGGATAATGGGATGGGAATGGGATGGGGATGGGATGGGGATGGGAAGGGATCCATGGGATTGTATGGGGTCCACGGGATGGGATAATGGGATGGGAAATTGGGATGAGATGAGATGAGGTCCATGAGATGGGGTCCATGGGATGGGATCCATGGGATGCAATAATGGGATAATGGGATGGGGATGGGATGGGATCCATGGGATGGGGTCCATGGATGGGAAAATAGGATAATGGGATAATGGGATGGGATAGGATGGGATATTGGGGTGGGAATGGGATGGGGATGAGATGAGATGAGGTCCATGAGTTGGGGTCCATGGGATGGGATCCATGGGATGCAATAATGGGATAATGGGATGGGAAATTGGGATGGGGTGGAGATGGGATATTTTCCATTGGAAGGGACCCACAGGGATCACCTGGTCCAACCCCACCCTATCCAAGGCAGAGCCAGGGTCAAATCCTGTCACAATGAGCCCCTCCACATCCTTCCTGCCATCCCTTATCCCACAGGAATTGAGGAGCTTTTCCCAAAATGCTCCTTCCTGTGGCTGAGCTGCTCCTGGGACGATCCTTGGGATTTTACCTGAAATTCCCTTCTTTGGCTCCTTCCCAAAACTCTTTCGTCACTCTGAGAAAAACCACAGCAAACAAACTTCCATGCACACGCAGGGAGCTCATTCCCGTGGGAATGGCTGATCCTGGGATCTGGGAACAGGACATGGAGACAGAAGGGCACCTCAAAAGCACAGCAGTGTCCCAGCCTGTATCCCGATCTCCACCCGGAATCCCATTCCAAGGCTGCTTTTCTGGCAGTTCCATCACTTCTCCTCCCCACCAGCAGCCCAGGAATGGGAACTCAGGGACAATTCCTGTGGGAAATCCATTGGGAAAAGGCACGGAGCAGCACAGCACTGCAGAGCCTCTCCCTACCTCGTGTCCAGGGATCCCTGGCTCAGGGAATCCCCCTCTCCCAGGAGCTCATCCTCGCTGTGGAAATACAGCTCGTCCTCTTCCATCCTGGTGGGAACACCACAAACATCAGCCCGGCCCTTCCCGGGATTCAGCATTCCAAAATCGTGGAGTCACTTTGGGTTGGGAAAGCTCTCCGAGTCCTACCACCCCCAGCACTGCCCAGGCCACCCCTGATCCATGTCCCCAAGGGACACATCCACAGGGATTTGAAATGCCACCGGGGATGGGGGCTCCAGTCCTTCCCTGTGCCAGGGATGGGCAGCCCTTTCCACGGAGGAATTGTTCCCAGATCCACCCAGGACACGGCTCTGCGCACCCCACGCTCGGCAATTCCACAACTCTTCCTAAAACGGGGCAGCCATGGCTCCTCCGGGAATTCCAGCCCAGACCCTGTCCACCCTCCCAGCCGGGAATTCCTGCCCAAGATCCCAGAATCCCACCCCAGCTCCCTTTTCCCACTGGGAATTCCATTCCCTGGCTCCTGGCCCTCCAGCCCTTCCCCAAATTCCAGCTCTCCTAGAGCCCCTTTGGGATCGGGAAGGGGCTCTGAGCTCTCACTGCATCCCTAATTTTCTGCTTTCATCCCATAGAGCAGCATCCCACAGGATTCATCCGATGAGAAACCGGAAAACTCACCCGGAGCCATCCCAGCAGTATCCTCCAATTCCCTGGAATCCCAGACTGGTTTAGGTGGGAAGGAACCTTAAATCCCATCCAGCCCCACCCCTGCCAGGGGCAGGGACACTTTCCAATATCCCAGGTTGCTCCAAACCCCATCCAACCTTTCCTTGGACACTTCCATGAGGGATTGGAGCATCCATTGTTCTCCTCGCATCCCGAAATTCCAGTGGCACAGGCAGGACTCGGATATCCCATCCCAGCCAGCCTCATCCCTGTCCTGGTTTGCAAGGTTTGTGTTTGTTCTATTTCCATCTTTCAGATGTGGGGCAGTTCTCTTCTGTTCATTTTCTTTATCTCTTCCACAACCCACCGTCCCTCCAGGAGATCTCTTATGTTAATGGGCCATAATTATTAATTATCTTCTGTTCATGGGCCATTAATTATTAATTATCTTCTGTTCATGGGGCCATAATTATTAATTATCTTCTGTTCACGGGCCATTGATTATTAATTATCTTCTGATCATGGGTCATAATTATTAATTATCTTCTGTTCACGGGTCATTAATTATTAATTATCTTCTGTTCATGGCCACTGAGTGTCCCTGCATGGCTGAGAAAATTCCATCATCCCACAGGGAGAGGCTCTGCCCAGGGGAGCAGCCAAGAAATTCCTACTTGGATACAATCTGAGATTTTGGGATACCACAGCAGCCTTTGCCCACTGCATTCCCAGAGGAGCCCAGGCCCATCTCCCCCAGCCCTGGAGCTCCAGAGGAAAACTCCCCCCTTGTGCAGGATCCTGCTCCAGCAGAAGCACAGCTGGCACTGCAGGAGGGCTGAGCCCCCCTGGGATGGGGCTGCTGCCACCTCCCTGACCCACAGGGGGACAGGGCCTGTTCTCACTCTGGCAGGGTTGGTTTTGTTTGTTTGTACTATTGCATTTGTATTTTTAATTTTCCTAATAAATAACTGTTATTCCCGCTCCCATATCTTTTCCTGAAAGCCCCTTAATTTCCAAATTATAATAATTCAGAGGGAGGTAATTTTTCCATTTTCCATTTTCCACTTCAGGGGATGCTCCTGCCTTCCTCAGCAGACACCTGGCTTCCCAAATTCCCTTTTTTCACACCCCCTCTTCCAGCTGTGCCATTCCTGCCTCCCTGCCCGGATTTCACCTTTTAATCCATCGCCACATTCCCGCTCCGCCTCGTCCCGGCTCGCTGAGCCGGGAAATTAAACGATACCACAGATAAATTTGTTTGAAATTTCCTGGATTCAGCCCAATTCCCACAATTAATGAACTGCCTTGGAGGGATGCGAACAATTAACGAGATATTCTCCAATCAGTGGGGGAAAAGCTGTTTTCCCCTTTTTTTGGCCACAATAAAGTGCTAATTCCGGATGGAATGTGGTCCAAAATGGGATTTCCCCTGAGCGGGGGAGTGGGAGGGAAGGAGCAGCTGATTCACAGAGCTCTGGTTGGATTCACATCTCCAGGTTGGGCTCCTGCGTGGATTTAGGTTCCTTGGGTGTCCTTGTTAATGAACTGCCTTGGAGGGATGCGAACAATTAACGAGATATTCTCCGATCAGTGGGGGAAAAGCGGTTTTTCCCTTTTTTTGGCCACAATAAAGTGCTAATCCCAGATGGAATGTGGTCCAAAATGGGATTTCCCCTGAGCGGGGGAAGTGGGATGGAAGGAGCAGCTGGTTCACAGGGCTCTGGTTGGATTCACATCTCCAGGATGGGCTCCTGCGTGGATTTAGGGATTTGGCAGCGCTGGGGAATGTTTGGAGCTCTCAGAGGGATTTTCCAGCCGGAAGCGTTCTGATATTCCGGGATTTGGGAATACGGGGATTGCCCTCCCTTATCCCTCACCACGGAAGTGGTGGATCCGTGAGGAGCAGACAGGGAATGTGGTGTTCCTGAGGAGCAGACAGGGAATATGGTGTTCCTGAGAGAGCGTGGGTGACACCAGGACCCAGCTCCACCTTCGCTGTCCACCCTTCCCACTTCCAGAGTCTCCCTTCCATCTCCATCTCATTCCTGAAGAATTCCAGCATCTTCAGAGCTTTGATGTCCCCCCTATTCCAACTGTTCCCTTTTCCAATGGATTCAAGAGCTCCTGGAGTGGGAACTCATGGACAAAGCCCCTCCTGGATAGAACAACTCCAAAAACGGTGAAAAGCTGCCCGAAAATCCCCCTTAGCATTCCATGAATCCCCTCGTGGCTGGAGGCCACCTGGATCCCACCCT